CTCAAGGTCCTAATAAAGTGATTGAAGCAAAATTACCACCTAGTGTCACTCCAGACCCCAGGCTCATAACCACTCGATATGCTTCCTTCCCAAGCTACTCGTGCTTAATATTTGAAACTGATGTTAAATACTCTTTATATAGCTATTACTCTAAGTTGTTTCAAGTCCAGCTATAAAGAGCCTGAATTTCAAAATACCTTAAAGTCTGGAGCCATATTGCAGCTACACCCCAACTTCCAGCCAGTATAATATGTAGTTAAGTTTTAGATATACTAGTTTTTCAGTATTTTTAAAGTATTTATAGATTTTAAAGAAGGGAGAAACATCGATAGGTTGCCTCCCACATGCACCCTGACCAGAGATTGAACCAGCAGACTATGTGCCCGGACAGGGAAACCCCCAATGTTTGGGTGTAGGGGGAAATGCTCCAACCAACTCTGCCACCCAGCCAGGGCTCAATATATTATTCTTAATGCCAAAATTTTGAAAAGCAGAAACAATTTAAACTCTCAGTGCTCAGAGTGACCCGAGTCCAAAGCTCTCATTGTTAATGAAATGACCACTTAGTCAATTTCAGTTATCACTCCCCTTTTTCCCTCAAAGGCAGCATGGCATGGTGTGAACAACCCAAGCTTGGGAGCAAGACTTGGCTCTACCACAGTAAGCCTGGGCAAATTTATTTCTCCCAAGTTCACCTCCTCGTTGAAAAGTTGGAAAGGTTGTTCTGATATATATAAATATGTGTATATATGTAAATGTCATGACATATAACAACAGGTAATCTGTAAAAGTAGCTTTTAGTGCTCCTCAAACATTATGCCTATGTTTCAATTGACCATTTTTGGACATTATGGGCTCAGTCATTCTGTTGACCAGGTATAGGTGTCTTAAGTATTTTTTTTTTTTTTGCCACCTAATAAGAGTCCCTTAGATTCCACTGCCCATAATTAAAATTTCAGTCTGGTATAATCACACTACACCTCCATTCACACTAGTGTCCAGTACAGGACAAGTACTCAGTATTAGTAACATGTGATGAGTATCTACATAAGAGTGACAAATTCAGATGAATACAGGGAATATGCAGGTAACTAAGAAGGCTACAACAAGAATTGATGAGAATTGTAGGTAAAAAACTGAGTAGTTTCTGTTGCCTTAAGAGTGCAAGTCTCGTGTTCCAAATCTTGAATTTTTCAAAAGTAGGAACTCCAAATTTTTACGACATTCTACATCTTCATCAAGAAAAACCACCTTCACACTGACACTCACAGTCCACAGCACATGCAGAAACACAAAGCAAGGGTGCACACTAACATGAAGATCTCAAGTGTATTCACACACCTTGTCTCTTCTCTTAGACTTTTTATTTCTACAAGTATTGTGTGCATATGTATATACACACATATACAGTCACACACAGCAAGTGGTTTTTAGTATTTGTCAGACCAATTACCCTTCAGCCAGCAGCCTTCATAACCCAGTCCTAGAACAAACCACCACCAGATTCGGCTTCAGCAGCAGTGGCAAGGGCCCTTGTTAGGTGCTGGTGTCATTTCAATTCTAGCTGGAAGCATCTGAAAACATCACTACTACAGCAGGTCCAAGCTGGTAAAGCAGAGGAGAAAATGGTCTATTAGTTCATGAAACAAAGATGAAGACACCCCAAAGGATATACCTGGAAGTATGGGGGCTTCCAAAACAGAATTTTAGATGAGGGTAGAGCTACAGAAATAAAATTCTGTGTAAAGGACATTTTAAAACATGCACAATTCACTATATACTATTTCATACATGTGTAGTAAAACAACGTAGAACAAGAATGGTACGCCTAAGTTTCAGATTGCAGTTTCACAAAGGAAAATATGATTGTGGAAGGGAATTAAGGGGACTTTAGTTATCATTATCTTTGATGAATGCTTCTTAAAAGAAACCAAAATATTCAAAGCAAATATAGAAAAATAAAATTTGTGAAAACTGGAGAAACCTTCACAATGAACTAGACAAAAATGCCGTCTGTGAGCACTACTGTCCATCTCATCTCACACAATTGAGGGATGTTGAACATTTAAACATACAACCTCATTTTCTATCGAGACATGCAGTGCAGGCTTCTGGAGTTAGGAGACTTAAGCATTATTGGGTGGAAAGAATGTTTACATATTTAAGTAGTTTAAACACTATTTGTTGGGAACACTTACACCATTTACTACCTCAACCAAATGCACAGATGTACTCTGTAGTGGTAGCTGTTCCCCTCATGATGCATATTGATACAAATATTGTAAGGATGAACACAAATTTTTCGCACTTTAAAGGTCATGCTGAAAAGCTTTCAGCACACATTCAAATACTTGTCCCTCTGAAATTCTCATTCCACCCAACACTTATCTTACAAAGGAACCACTTTATCCAATTAAAAACTAAGATTCCTATTAAGGCATTTCCTCATCGCATAATGTAGGACCTTGTTAAGAAACCATGACTTCATAAAACACATGTGAGTAAATCCCTCAGTCAACAAATTCAACAGGGAAGAGAGTGGTGGGTCTCAAAGTGCAAGAGAATTTTTCCCTCGGGGAGGGAATTCTTATTTAATAAATTAAACATAATCTCTAAACTTTTCAAAGAAAATCTGAATTTTACTTCAATTTCATAAAACTTGATGGCAAGTACAGAAAAGCATCCTAAGAAATACTTTGCAGCAAAACTTTGAGCCTCAACAGTGTAGCTTTAGTTGAATTTTTAAAGTGACATATTTGTATGAATTTAATTCAAAGTAGCTTGGCACACCTCACATATTTATCTACATACTATACATTTAAGGACTTACACTTTGGATTAAAATAGCACACAAAGAAAAAGGAGGTTTGCCCTCCAACACTATGTTATAACTCTTTATGTAATTCCTCACAAACCTCTACTTCTTGAGACAAAGAATGAACTGAACTAGGAATTCCTATTGCTCAGTAATGTGTAACAGTACTTACAATTTCAACCGTCTGTAACATTTTCTTTAGAGCTTCAGTGTAACTTCTAAAAATTTTTTTCCTTCAAGGTTCCTAAGTATATTATTTGACAACCTTTGTTCTTTGTAGAACCATAAACAGTATCAAGAATTTTGACCATAAATGATCAAAATTCCCATCTTTAAGGTGTACACAAACCACTTCCGGGACCTCCTTCATATAATATACTAATAAATTTGCTTAGTAATGTTTATGTTGATTTTGTTCAAGAGCTGTAATTGCTAATGGGCATTTTATTTCTTTTCACTTCTTCGAGATAATGGCAAGAAAAAATCTGAAAATTTAAGACCAAAAGTTTTCACAAAGAAATACCAGTAAGTACTGCCTTTAAAGTGAACTCAAAAGCATCACAAAACCACCTACCAGTTTTTTGGAGTCAGTGTTTGAATTGGTACCAGTCATTTCCTTTGCAAGGTAGATTACAATGGTTAAGAGCATGGGTTCCAGGATCAGACCACCGGGATCCAGCTTTAACTCCTGTCCGGTTACATAAAGCTATGCAAATCTGAGCATGTTTAACCTCTCTAAAGCTGTCTGCCAACTTACACCCCATACAATGGAGATAAAAAACAGTACCTATTTCATATAATCCAAAAGACTGAGTTGACAAAACTATTACCTAGCACATAGTTAATAAGCATCTTTAAGTCCATCTAATACTTTGAGAAATACATAATGGGTAAAATAAACTTCTCAGGTGGATGAAGATAATCACTTTGGGTGTTAGCCAACTGGTAAAGTTGAGTCCCATAAAATTTCTCAAATCATTTATTTGCATACAAACAGCTCAGCTTTGTTTACACTGTAAACTACAGGTTAAAAACCTGCCAGTATTGTAACAATCCTAACTTTACAAAGATGGCACTTGCATTAAGCAATACCTCAAGGTGATTCCTGCAACTTATTTGTAAAGATTAATATACAAGGAATTCAGAAAACACTGCTTCCCTATACTGGAGAACTTGCCTTGCTTAAACCTATTTTTTATCCGGCTTTGACATTTAAAAGCCCACAAATGCAGCTGTATGGCTGCAGATTATAATGGGTGGAACTTAAAACTGAATGACCGTGCCAGGTCTCCTTTCCAGATGAACTGTCATTATCAATACAGGTACTGTTTAAGCATCATTTCAGCTCATTACATGAGTTAATGTAATGCTACATTTGAATACCAATAAATAGTTATCTTAATAGTTCCCTACACCTTCTTTCAAGATGGGTGTTATATACAGACAGGAACAACTAAAAAATAAGAAACTGAGTTTTAAAACAAAAGAAATGTGGGTATGCACAACTAGATGTAGACTTATCTGGCCAATCAAGCTTTATATTATAAATAAAATGTCCATAATTTTATAGTGAAGAAAGTGATCATAAAAACAAAGCCAAGTATTTTACAGTCACTTATGCTTGGTTTTCAATAAACCAGAGAAATGATTAAATGAAACAAACAGGACACAAAGTTGTATGTAACTTATGATTATGCTTTAAAAGCATTGTAAGGAAATAAATGTCCATAGAAATTGATACTGCTGGATGTCAAGATTTGACATTGTTTTTTAAAACGTATTTTCCAAATTCTCTAAAATGCAAACATTATTATTTCTATAATCAGAAATGTAAAAAGATAAAATTTTCTTTAAGGAGGAACGCTCAAACTCCTTTGCATCAATCCCCAACAGGCTGGGCATTGACAAGAGGCCACTGCTCCTGCACCGCACTCTTCAGAAGCATGGCTTCTACCAACATTGTGTGCTACCAAATGAGGAACAAAAAACTAGCTGATCCCAATTTCCCACAAAAAAACATTTAATTTCTAGGTCGTTAAGCAAAAGACTTACCTGCCATCAGAACTCAAGTCCCAGTCAATAACTGACTAGTATTACTAGACACAACACAAACATATAAACCATTATAATCTGTTGAAATCACATTACTTTTGGTTTGTTTTTGGAAAGGAAAATGACACTTCACCAGATTTTTAATCAGTTTATTTATTCACGTAACAGTTTAATTTCCTCTGAAAGCTAGAAAATAAAGATCATTTACCTTATTTTTATTGTTTTTCCATACGGTAAACACTGATCTTTCCCTAACGCCCAGAAAGGTCATTTTTTAAAAATCTATGCACACACCAAATCACTGAATAGGAATGTGCAAAGCTCTAGGAAAACTATTACTTGATTGCTTTTAAAGTGGCAAAAGATCACAATTTGGGGTCATACTGTATAAGAACTCTTCTTTTTTACCATATTGATAAAACTTCTTTTTGAAGTGGCATGTTTTGAATGATTACAATTCAAAAGTAATTCCCACAGCAGATAATATCAATTTTAGCAAAAGTTCTGAGCAAGATACTTGAAGGAGAAATATTATTTTTTCTTTGACCAGAACTTCTGAATTAAGTACATTTTTCCAAGTGCCATTTTTTAAAAGGTAACACACTCAAGAGTACAATTCTTAAATTTGTTTCTTGTAAATAAAAGAATGGGCAGAGTTAAGGTACATTAATTATAGAAAGAATGAAGGAAGGTAGTGCATTTAACATCACATATGAACTTAAGGCCTTAGTTACTGGATTGTGATTTCAGTATTAGCAACAGTGTATTTCCCTCATGCTTACATACAAAAGTAAGCAGGCAGACAAAATTTTCTAAACATGTAAGAAATGAAGACAATTTAATCTATGTTATCAGTCAATACAGCTGAACTCTTAAAGTAACCATTGGTAATAAAATAATCTGATCACACTTCATACATTCATTAAAAAGAACAAATTAAAAGTCTCCTATACAATTAGAGCATTTCCTGATATGTAAAGCAGTTAAGCCCACACACCCTTTTCTTTGCAGGTGCTGCCCAGACTATACTCTATCTAAAATCCAGCCATTGCATAATGCATTTTGCAAAATGCCTATCTAAAAATACACTGTATTTCATAGTGTTTATTACCAATGTTAGGGGATGGGAGCATTTCTAGCCTAAACACTAAAAGAAAACATACACATGAGACTATTCAACAGTAGTGGTGTATAATACAAGTCTATGATAGAAAACCACATACTTTTATTAAATGGCATCTTAGGTTCATTATTTCAAGTCATCAACTAAATTAATACATTTTTTTTTCCTACAAAGTGACCAGAAAACACACCAAACCAAAGTCAGGAGAGCAGATTACTAGGTCTAGCCCTGCCTCACCTATCTATGAGATGCAAGGAAAGTTCTCTTTAACTCTCTCTCATAAAGGCCTTAGTTTCCTTAACTATAAACAAAGGGGTTGAACAAAATGATATCTAAGGAACATTCCCATGAAATGGGATTTTGGTAAATTTTTGAGAACTTAAATGTTTAAAAAAATGACAGCCATGAAATATCAAGCTTGATACTTATCACCAATAATGTAGATTATACAGAGCTTTAAGCCAAGGAATTACTGATTCTGCATTTATGGGGTAAAAATGCAAGACTCTTTCTAGCATGCTTTTCCAGTTATCAGAAAGGGAAGGAAATTTTACAATGACTGTAATTCATACAGCAGCAATGGAAACATTACCTGCAGTAGCATGCCAGTAATGGATGGGTGTTACTTGTGCTTGTTTTTAGTAACTTTTGCACAATAGCAAGAAGTTTTGTAGAAAATACTATATAGAGCCAATGACACAATAAATGTGATTAGACAAATCAAAATATACTTAAAATGAAAGGGCAAACAAAATACTTAGAGCATTTCACTCATTTATAAAATGTATACAGAGACATGGGCCTAACATACTTCACTGACCCACATCAAGTCCCAAAGTCCAATCTCCCTTTCAGATAGAAATGTATCTTTTACAAAACCAACACCTATTTTCAGGATCAAAATTCACTTGTACTCAGTTAAAAAAAAAAAAAAAAAAGAACATATTTTCTACGGTTCCAAAATTTTCTATGCTGATACACATGAAATAAATTCAAACCCTATAATGCACATTTACACTGAAAATGTTTCACGTGGTTAACAGAACTGCAAGGAATAAAGTCATTTCTCACAAAGATTCCCAAGGCTTGCTCAGTGATAAGAAATTTCCAGAATGGGAATTTACTTTGAGTGTCAAATTGGGCAGGAAAAACACCTACTTTTAACTATTATTATGAAATATTATAAAAGGAATTATTAATAAGCTCATTAAAAAGCACTTGACTAGAACAACCAAGAAGAATAAATCTTTCTTGGGACAATACTAAAAGGACCTGTTTAGAATGGGGTAAACGCAATACAGCCACAAGGCATACACATAAACTGACAAAAATTACAGCACTTTTATTCTCATCGAATTTGCTTATTTTATATTATCTTGAAGACAAACTGATTATCTTTCAAAATACGAAAAGTACAGTGAAACTGATCAGTTCCTTTCATTAATAGAATGAGAACTTTTACTTACAAATACTGTAAATCTGAAAGGGTTTTTCAATGTGAAATAAAATTATGCATTATAAGTTTCAAATTATCATGGAGTGGACTTTCTGTTATCCCCGTCTAATGACACGACAGACACAAGCTGTTGAGCAAGAATCTGTTAATAGTTTTATTTGTTTTAATGTTAAATACCATGGGACAGAACTGTAAGGATGAAAAACTCAGTCAACAACTGCCTCACAAGGGATAAGAAAAGTTCTGCCATATTAGCAAAGGTAAAGGAGAAAATTTACACTGTAAGAGGCACCATTTCCCCACAGAATACCCCTTGGCATTTCCTGAATGAGTGGGATTAGCAATCTAAATAAATCATTTCAAGAGGTAACAGCAACAGATAAAATTTAAAGGGATTATTAAAATAACATTTACAAGACTCTGAACAATTCTTGAACTCTTATTAAAACAACAAAGAAAGAACAACTCTTTATTTATGAATTTCATAAAGGACTGAATGTGCAACTGACATCTGCTAGTGATGATCTGGTAATATACAATTTGTCCAGTAGCCAAACAGTTTGTTTTTATTCTGTTTTCTAACCGTAAGAGATCATTAAAGGCAAAGCCTATATGACGCTGTACACACACACAAAAATGGTCACCGTGGGCCATACTACCAATGAAATGGTAGGTAAACACATCTTTTTCTGGTCAAGAGAAAATAAAAGAAATAGCACTCTGCATGCTTCACTCTACAAGATGAATTTCCCTAGAAAGAATCCAATGAAAATGGCTGCAATTACAACAAGAAGTGAAGGAAGAGGACTGGTGACATTATCTCTGAAGGACGCAGTTGAGGTTGATCCAGGTTTATCCGAGTGTGCTACCTTTCTGAGCCTTAAGCCTTCATCCTAGAAAAAATATATACGCACAAAAAAAGTTTTAAAAACAAATATGCATATAAGAATACCAAGCTAAAAATCAACAGAGAGAAAACAGCCTGGGGGTGTGAACAGGATTTACTGCTAACTGGAATAAGAAAACTTTCTAGGGCAATGCAAACATTCTAAAACTGGATTCCAGTGATGTGCACAATTCTGTAAATTTACTAAAAATCATTAAATTGTACCCTTACAATGAGTGACTTGACAGTGTAAATTATGCCACAATAATGCGGATTTTAGAAACTAGAGCTCAGAAATACACTCCTAAAAATCTGAAAAATCACATACGGCTGTATTTAAATAGATGAAAAAATTCCATTATTAAAATTAATACAACTAAAGAGTTCTGTGCATGTATGTATTTCCAAGGTGGCCCATAGTTTTTTTTACACCTACCCTAGCCCAATTAGCCAAAGACCAGAAATAAACCTGCAGTCTGACAGGTTCACTTACTCCCTGCAACCAGGGCACCAGCACAGCAGAGGCACAGGTAACTCACCAAGGGTAGAACAACTTTATAGGATTTGAAAGAAAGGGGAAGTTCAGGGTGAAATTTAAATAATGTAGTTTTTTGATATGCTCAAAGTAAAGCAGGAAAGCTGTGTGTAAAAGGGTCAGCACTGGATCTGAGCTGTAAACACTGAATAATTTCTTTGGAAAGTTCTAATTACAATAGATGTGGAGTGTTATATACATCAACACACCCATCCAAAGCTCCGTACCTAGACTCAACAGGGAGGCTGCTTTTCTATACCAAGCTGACTTTGATGCTCCAGACAAGAGTGGGTTGCTTCATTCTTACTGATATGATGGTTTCACACAGCAAAGTTTCTGACAGTCTATGATTTTAGGGGACAATGTTTCTCAGTAAAAAAAAGTAGTAGTCACTGAAGATGGGAGGTTGTTATGACACTTTATCAGTGGCAGTACGACCCTAGGGAAAATACCAATATCTGTATTTGTTACTTAGATTTGGCTTTATCTGTTTGTGTCCCATCATTTCAACCAGATGAATGGCAGGGCACATTTTTATCTCCTCACTACAAGCTAATTTTTACATTCTCATACTGACTCCTGTGTACCAAGAGGCTACCTGACAAAACACAGTTTTATTTGCATTACTAGATTTTCTGAGGGTTTGTGGGTCTTTTTGGTCTTATGCTAATTAATCCTGTGTGGTGAGAGCAATGATTCTCAATCCCAGCAAGAACTTTAAAATATGGTCCTGATGATTCTGATTCACTAGGTCTGGGCAGGGCCTAGCCAAGTACATTTTTAAATGGTTCTCTGGGAGATTAGGATATGGTCTGGATTAAGAACCACAGAGGCAGAGAAATATAAAAGGTTAGTGATCAGACATGCTCAAGAAAGTTAGTATGGCAACAAAATATGATGGGTCTTATGTATAAAATATTAAAAAGCTTGAAATGGATTCTGTAAGCCAATGGTCTTTTATCTTTTAAACAGCAGAATGTTTTTTCAAATAACATCTCCTAGAGAACATCAGCCTATTAAGAGTTACAACCAAAAATTAAGTCTCACTCACCTATCTCCTGGTTCACTCTTCCTATTTTCCAGCCCTGCCCTGCCTGTACCAACCATTCCTATCATTTCCACTTCTCCCCTCTCTGCCAAGAGATAAACAGTGGTTTCTGGAACAAATACACTGCGTATACTAAGGAACACATCTTTCAACAAAGAACACAACTTGTGCAAGTCCTAGAAGACAAATTAACAAAACTGCACGATGTGGAGTATGAAATGGAGATAATTTTTCCACTATTCAGATAGGTGCTGGAGGCAGAGGGTCCCTGGGGGCCACTAAGGAATATGAAGATAACCAGAAAAATTATTTCAGCACTGATCAATTCAAAATATAGTGCTTTTGATTCAGGGTGGTTCTTATGTACACTTAACAGACAGAATAACAAAATGTAGATTAAGTTCCATAACTTAGCTTGTTTTTGTATCATCCATCAATATTTTAATACCAAAACCTAAAACAAAGCCTTAAAAAAATTTAAAGGTACTCAGATCTTGAAATAATTACTTGTCAAAGGCTAATTAATAATAACCTCCATACATATTCAAATTACTCAATTCACCAATCCATTCATTTATTCATTTGAATATACACTAATGACTATGATACATATGTCTATGAATGCAAAAATGACTCCACACAGTCCTTGCCCCAGGAAAGTACTGTCCACTAGAGGGAGTACTCTACATCCACATCCAACAAGTAACAGACTTGGTGGAAACAAAGGAGACAGCATTCCTAAAGAATTTTTCTTTTGGTTTTGGAGGGAGAGCACCCTATAAAAGGTTATACTGAAAATATTACAATAAACAAGTACCAAGAAAAAAAAGTGCATGCATGTATGTGTTGTGAGGGTAGGGACAAGAATTCAAAGGCATTCCAGTCAGAGGGAAGAACTTAAGACAAAGCAAAAAGGCGGAGGAGGGATGGTAAAAAAAGAGACGCTTCTTCAGGAAACTATAGCCCAACACTGTCCAATACAAACATAGTATGAACTTTACAAATGTGAGCCACATATGTAATTTTAAATTTTCTAATGGCATATTAAAAAAGTGAAAAGAAACTGGCAAAATTAACCTTAATAATATATTCAATCCCATATAATCCCAAATAATACAAAAAATATGTACTTAACCATTTTTTTGATACTATGCCTAAGAAATCAGTGTATATTTTACACTCACAGCACATCTCAATCCAAAATACAGTCATATCTCAGTAATCATTACTTTCAGAACTCGTCAAACCCTATACTCTTCACATTTTAACAAGAAAAAAATGTTCCAGGACTTGGTGCTTGCTTCCCACTCGGCACCCATTTCTCACGATGAAAATTTTTAAACTCCACATCCTTCTTTTCAAAATTATTTAAAAGGTTTGACAATTTTCAATTTCAATAAGAATTTTTTTGATAGTGAATGTTATAGTCACCTGTGAACAATTTTAGCGGGACTAAATTCAGTTAATGTCAGTAGTAAATGTCAGTAGTTAGATAAAGAGGTCAATGTGTCATTTTCAGCACTCTACACAAATTAATGACTGTAACCTCATTTCAAGTGCTCGACAGCCCCAGGTGACTAGCGGTTGGCTCCTCTATAAGCAGCACCATTCTAGGCAGTTCGTATGACTAGGGCACAGAATGTGAAGGGTTCAAATAAGTTCAAGCAAGCAATACCTAGGAAAAGAACTTGCAGGCAATGAGAAGCCATGGTAAAACTGTTCAAAGAGGCTGGGAATACAGAGTAAAGGACAGGACATAATCAAACTGAAGAAAAGGAGAAAGAACTGCCCCAAAACTGATAGATAAAATGGCCTAACAACGGTCACATGTCCTATACCTTCATTTAAATCAACTTATTTTCAAAATATAACTTACTCTCAGGTGTCGATTTTCTTCTGACAGCTTCATTATTTCTCCCTGAAGTCTTTTACACTCTTCCATGAGTTTCCTTGTTTCAGTGTCATTAAGTGAAACACTATGTGGTTTTGGCATGGGTCCATCTTGTTTAGATGCATTCAGCGGAACAGCTTTGCTAGGTTCCATATCATTCTGTGTTACAAAGACAGAGAAAATTTTTTAACTGACTAAATCTCCTTACAGGTTTTAAACAAGAAAAAATTTAAACTCCACATCCTTCTTTTCAAAATAATTATTTAAAAGGTTTGACAATTTTCAATTTCAATAAGAATTTTTTTGATAGTGAATGTTATAGTCACCTGTGAACAATTTGAGGGACTAAATCAGTAAATGTCAGTAGTTAGATAAAGCAAATAAGCCCACTCCCTCCTCTACTCCCATAACCCTTTGCACTTACCTCTACCAAAGCACTTATCATATATCATAATAATGTATTTTTGATGTTCTTTCCTACAATACTTCAGAGGCTGGGAGAGCAAGAGTCATTTCTCTTTGTACTGACCCCTTAACCCAGCACTTTGACGAACAGTAGTTACTTAATGAAAGTATGCTGAATAACTGACGACAACCAAAATCCAAATACGAAGGTCATTTTCAGTGCTCTGATTCTGCAATTCAGATGAGGTTCTGGGAGGGTAGGGGGGATATTATTGTAATCATTCCAATAAAATTAGACTATCTAAGAAAAACATTTAAAAGAAAACCTAACTTCTATTAATGGGGGAAAAAATAACTAAAGGATATAAACCTTGAAAGGGAAATAATGAACATAAACCAAAAAAAAAAAAAAGAGAGAGAAGAGAATGGAATGGAGTTATTTCCATGATCTCAAACTCAAACACAAATGATTCCTTCAAATTACCCTTTGATTTAATTTATGAAATTCAATACGGAATCAAAGTACCCAGTTTTAAATCTATGAGCCCCCAAAATCTTAATTCTCACCAACATTCACCCATTTAAAACTAGTGGCAAAGGCATAAGATAAATACCTAAGGCAGTACACTTAAGTACTTCTGAGCCTCTGATCTAAAGTGCCTCCATATCCTTCAGTCCTGACATCATTTATCCCATCACATACAACCTAACAGTATTAGTGCGACAACTCATCTTTTTAATTAAATTTTGACTTGCTAAAAATTTAATTTTAGATAAAAAGATATAAATTGCTTTATTCAGATATAAACTTCTAACACAAATACTTCCAAATCAACTTTATGGCATTTCACAGTACTCATTGATGACATTTTAAACCAATTAGATACCGATCACACCATCCTACCTCCTAAATTTATATTAAGAGTAAATAGTTTGTTCAAAGTCAGTATTTTCTTATGAAAGGGAGGTAATTTTATTATTATGCCTAAATCCATCTAAAAATTAACGTTATGATGAGATTCTAATGTACAACACTATATAGTATTTGACCTGGATTTTTCTAATTTTCTTTAGAAGCTTCAGAGTTGTGAAAGGTTTTAAGAAGGCTACTTCAGCTCTGGTTGGAGTGGCTCAGTGGACTGAGTGCCAGCCTGAGAACCAAAGGGTCACTGATTCAATTCCCAGTCAAGACACATGCATGGGTTTCAGGCCCGGTCCCTAGTAGGGAACCCATGAGAGACAACCACATGTTGATGTCTCTCTCGACTTCTCCCTTCCTCTAAAAATAAAATCTTTAAAAAACGGCTACTTTAATTTTCTTATCTGAGTTTTTTCTCTTGCTCTCTTATTCTTTACCCTATCCTTCCCTATCCACAACCCATCCCATCTTCATTATTAAAAATCGGTTCCTGATACATTTTGCTTTCCACCAATATTCTTTCCCTTAATACTTAATAGCAACTATATTTCAAAATGATTTTTCAAGTGTGTTCAAATTCCAACCTAGAACAAGTCCAACTTCTGAAAATGAGGGTGCCATGTTGCCTTCCTCTGTAAAAAAGAAGGCAATAGTCAACAATACGGCAACTGAGGCATCTTTAGGTTTTGGTTAAGAATTGGGGAAAAAAAATATCATGCTCATACCAAAAAGTTGACTAAAAAAAATAGAAGGAAATAGGTGAGGCCAACAAGTAGAGAGAAAAAAAATAAAATGAGGAATTATCAAACTCTTCACAATTGGATTTTTATTTTTAAATAAATTCTTGAAATTCCAGAAAATTTAGAATTATGAGGAATTTATCTCTCATTATTTCATCAATCCAACACAACTATTATTTGTTATCTTCCAATATTTTTTTCATAAGCCCATTTTGTAAATTCCACATACATGTACATTTTAATCTTTCTTCAATTATATGCATATCTTTTTATTTTCATTTTAAATTACACAATATGCCATTAGATATTGTATTCCATGCTTTACTAAAATTACTTAAAGCATTTCATTCTTGTTAGACATTTGATGGGTAGATGACCACTCTGGGATTTAACATGCCAATGAATATCTTCTTACAGTGGCAGAATTAGATTTTTCTTTTTTATTGACATTTTCCTTAATGTGTTTATATCACTTTTATAACCAAAAGGAAAGGAAATGTCTTAACCAATTTGTGGAACATAAACACAAGACTAGGAATGCAAAAAGATAAAGTGAAGCTTAAACATATTTCAAAAGTGAGCCAAATTAAGTCATGAAACAAGTTACATGGAGTATAATTATATCTTGTACTTTTTAGGCCCCCTACAAACCAGTCAACATACGTAGAAAATGCGAAGAAATCTAATTTATTTATGCATATTTAAAGTATAATCATATATCCCTAACTTAGTTGGGGGTTAAAGGAAGTGGAGGGAGTAAGTCATTCATTTAGTAACAATCTGAAGGGCCTGATGAGAAACACTAAGGCTGCCGTGACTTTAAGTATAAACTTCCATTCAGGAGCTCCATTAGTGAGGTTTGGCTCCAGGAAAACAGCTTGTTCCTTGACAGTTGCTACAGACTGGTCCAGAAAGTGGAGACTGGTTGTTCTGAGAACCATGAAAAAAGCAAACTAAAGGGATTCAACAACATGCTGCAAGTTTTTGGAAACTGATGAATTTAGATAAACCATAAGGTCAAGGCTATGATATTAATAAAGAAAATATACCCTATGCTGCACTTACTCTACTGTCTTATATTAAGTAGTCCACCTACAGTAATCCCTCTCCATCCGAGTTGAATTTACTTCTGTATTCTTTTTTAATATCCTTCAGAATTTTAATTCCAATATTCTAACTAATTCTTATTAGGGGTAATTAGACAAAGACAGGGCAAGCGATTGGAACTAGGGAAAGGTAAAATACAAGGCAAAGTAGATTTTTGCAATGAAGTCTTAAGAAAGAGAAGCAAAAGGATGTAAATATGGGACTACACTCTTGTGACTATTATGAGTAAGGGGTATAAATATATAAAGGTTAAAGCCAAGAGCTATGGCATGAAATTGTTTGGAGGCATAATTAAGGCCTTATCCTGGGAAAACATACTGATAGTATTTGAATAATAAAATTACTGAAGATTTATTTTCACTCTAAACAACCAATTTATTCTGTTACTCTAGGATCATCAATAACTAACCAGACATTTACATAAAGCATCAGGTTTTAAGCCTTAGTATACAATGTCTCTGTAAAGGCAAATCAAAGTATAAGAAAATTATTCACACTGTGGGGTTCCTGAAGTTTTCAGTAAGCAAGAAATGGAAAAGGGAATCATACAGGAACCATTATATCACCTAAAAGTCGACACATACACACAGACACACACACGAAGACATTAATAAATTCAAATATAACCTAAGATCTTTAGGCTTTATACCACAAATTCTCCTACCCTGGGGCATTGTAAATAACTAACAATGACAGTTAAAGAGGGGTTACTATTATTTGTATTTGATGATAAAATATAAAATAGTAATCTCGCTTATCATACACACACACACACACTTCCCTGGAAAGCAATGTTTGCCAGCTGCTATAGGAATCCCATGTCTGCTAGTCTATTTGGATACTTAGATATGCTCCTAACTCCCTTTTTAGAGTATGCTCACAAAATTTCAGTGACAGGAAAAATTACAGCAATTTCATAGTAATGTCCAAACTTACATTTGTCCTGCCCACTATTGAGATTTTAAGTGTTAAATTTGTTTTGTTTTGTTTTAGGACAGTAAATAGTCTGTGTGTGTGGTTTTTAAGTGAATTGTGGTTCTGTAATTTTAAACATAACTGAAAATTTCAATTCTATTTACTTCACATAACATACTCACAATACCACCCATGTGGTAGATAACTACATTAACATAACCAGTAACACTAGTACACTCCTATGTCTGTTAACTCCCTAAAACAAACCTTCTGCTTCTCCTGTTTGTACACATTGAGTCCCCTGGGGTCATTCTTCATGTTATAACTGGCAGGAGTTGCAACTGTGTTGTTCATGTTGCTTACTGAAGTGACAGCTGGAGCAGTCCCTGGTGGAGTTATACCCTGAGGTGGTATGGGAAACACATTCTCAGATTCACACCAAACTCTGAGTTCTCCCTGCATGGTATCAGGAATGACTAACACAGAAATCATTAGGCTCTAAAACATTATCATTTTATTCTACAGAAAGGTGTTATACATAAGAAATAACAGTAATAAATAATAGCTATGTTAAAGCAAAAAGTATGAAATTTCTGAAATTTTTTTACATTTCCCAAACAAAATTAGCTATGATCAATTTGCATTTTGTTCACAAGCTTAAATGTATAAACCTTATTAAATTTATGCTAGCCTTATGTTATCTTAAAATGAATACCTTCTAATTTTGTGGTGCTAAATTTTTGTTATTAATCAATACTTGTCAATATCTGAAAAACAAGCACTTCATATTTTCTTACCTTTGATAATAATCTGAACAATTTTTAAATGACATTTTTCCCCCTTGAGGTTCAGAAACTACAGTGATGAATAAACCTCTCCAGTACTCAACAACACCCCTCCCGAAATATACACACACCTCCTCTTCCAGGACCAATGAACAAATTTCAGATGCACATAACATTCTAGTATATACCATTATCTCCATAGTTCTCCTACCTTCTCAAATTTCTCTAATATAGATAAAAATATTACAATAAAAGTTTAGAACTGACTCTGAAGTAATACTTATTGATATACATTATATATAAAAACTAAGAGAACTGTATCTTACTAATAATGTACTGTCCCCAATCTGTTCTTTGTCTCAATAGAAAATGTATATTTACTCATAAAAAGTCTTTATACTTAAGACCCCTGAAATGCTGTTCTTGATAGCCTACCTTTCTTTATTAAGACAAATTATTTTTTCCTAGAAAATATATTATTAACAGATATTATATGTATGGCATAAATGAAATCCAATACATTTTTAAAATTTGGAAAATGTCAAGTAAAACTGTAAGCCTCAAAAAAAATTGGGGTGTAATTGAACACAAAGAATTGAGTAAGTGATAAACATGATAAATGACTTAACTATAAATACATTCAATCCTGGAAGAAAAAAAAACACTACTACTAACTGGACATTAGATTTAATACAGAGTTGACAGTAACTAAAAGAACTTATAATTTAGAAAACCCCACTTGGTAAAATATAAAATAGTCAATGCTTTATTTAGTCCAACAACCCAAGGACCATAAAGAATGGCTCTCAGTATTAGCACTGACACAATTCAATTGAACTTTACGGACCATTAATTTAATGAAACATATCCATAATTTACTGAAGTATATCCACTCAAAGACCTGCTATTCCCTAGGACTAGGGAGACCACACATTTTATTGTGTTTAACAGCAGTATTAGTTAATACCTGTTATCTATGAATAATTATTAATAGTACCTCCTTTTATTCTAAAACAGAAGGGTCCCTGGATTCTTGGGTCACTCTATGATCCAAATTAGACAGCTATTTCCCCCCCAAAAAGCCCACATTCTAATGGTGTGGCAAATAAATTAGAATTGGTTTGTCACAAAAAATGACTTCTTTAAACTATAAAAATATCAATAAAAACATGGACTCAACCACTATACTTCTAAAGCTGTCAACTTTCTTATCCTACAAGATTGACCACAAAACTTCAATCTTTTTTTTTTATATATACAGGGTATTATCAAGGTCCTAAAACAACTCATGAAACTAATAAAATAGCATGCCCTTTCCCACTGTTTTTAGAACATGCAAATGCCCAATAATTAATAGCATACCTAAATAGATCCAGACCTTCGAACAGGTATACTTACATATTCTATTTAAATTCAATGACTATCTACTTGTTGGAAGGGGTGGGGCGGGGGGACGGGGGCAAGCAGTACACAGTAGGGTGGACAAGGAGCTACAGGCAGGGGTTTCAGAGTGGGCTGAGGTGCTGAACATAAACAACAACACTGTAAAGTACAAGACCTGCTCACTACACCAACTTTGAGAAGAAAGTATCAACAACTATGACTGCTACTCTCAATCTACTTTGGATACTAAATTATTCTAAGCTGACTACTAAAGATCATGAATTCTAATGGCCTTTTTAAATATACCATCCTGAGAGAGTTTTTTGTATATTAAACCTGAAGTTGTCAAAAACTAAACTGAATTTTATTTCAATTAACATACTTTTTAAAATGTACTAAGAAAAAAAACAAAAAAGATCAAAGGATCTCCAGTAATTCACAATACAGCAATCATACTATAAACCAAAAAAAAGTATTTTTAACATTTTTGTTAATATTGCATATTCAGAAATGCATTTTCCTTGAATAAGGGAGTATCACCTTTAATCAATTTATGCAGATCAGAATTCAGCTTTTATCAAAAACATTTTATCAATTTATCTGCAGGAAACTAACAAACTTTATCTAGACAAAAGACTATTCTGTAATGCCCTAATTTCTTAACTGACAATTTTAACTAAACTGAAGATAAACATACAGAAAAAGGGTATTAAGTAATTTTGGAATTTGATCTATGCTAGATAAATGCTAGGTGATTTCTAACTAAATTCTAGCTGTATACTACAAAGAAACCAGTATGTCAAAGATATTCCAGTTTTTAAGCAGTTTTATCAATTTCAACCGTAAACACTGAATTGGAAATGGCAAGACACAATTATCAACAGGGTCTAATTACCATATGAATGAATTATAAGAGATGTTTATATGCATTTTTATATATAAAAGGTTTCATCCTTAATTATAATAAACAAATAAAAACCTTATCATGTATTTCTTACTATTGTAAACTCCAGATTTGGCAATGTTAAGGTTTCATATTTCCTAAAAGGGATGAGTTGCAACATTAAACTGATGACTCGACAAAGTCACATAATGAACAACTCAGAACTGGGTCTGTGCCAGGGTGCACTCAATTTAAATACATTTCTCAGTAATTAAGATCTCTTATGGAACCTGCAGGTTAGTAGCAAGCAACAAAGGAATGAGCTTAACCAGTACCAATGTTTCCAAAAGTGATTTTACATTACATTAAATAAAAAAGAAATGCTGGGTTAAACAATACTTTCTTCATTCAGGGCCTATAAATGCAATGTGCTTCTTTACTGGAAGACCTAGTATTTGGAGTGTTTTTCCAAACTCATTTGACAACAGAACCCTTCCAACCCAACACACTCAGGGAAATGCTGCCTTAAAGAAACACAGCTGTGGTTCAGCCCTTCTTTTTAATATGTAACATGAATTAATTAAGGCCACTTCTAGCTGTATATAATATAGACCCATTTTTTGTACATTTGAATTATGTAAATCTCAAATACTAATATACTGAAATATTAAAAAGTCTTATGTGAAAAACTTGAAATGCAAAGTCTACACACTTTAAAATATCCATAAAGAATCATAACAGCAAAGCTAATATGCCACATGAGCTGATATAGCCAAACAGCACTGCAGCTGGTTCACATAGTACCTGTGCATTCTTTTCAGGGCCAGTGATGAATTTTAGACATTTTCAGTTATCCAAGACCTTTAAGAATATATCTCAACCACAAAATGCATCACTACCACAAGAATCAAAAGTACATACATCTTCCTATGTGATCATGACATGATTTTACCATTAAAATTTTACCATTTGAAGAAGTGCCTTCCAATGATAATCAAGGCCTTCATCTAATTATGGCCAATAAAATAGTTTGAAAAAAATTCTGAAGTCATTGTCTTATTACAGTGCCCAAATTAGGTTCTTGATACACCATCTCCACTGAAAGGAGCCAGAGATTCTTGAAGAAATCACTGATTCGAAGTCTAGGTTTGGAAACATCTTCTCATATTAGACATAAAAAAAATACTACCAAGGGTATGAGACTTCCATCAAGATGGCTCACCTTTTCACACACCACATCAAAATTACAACTAAAATACAGAACCACCATCACTGAGAACCAGCACAAATCGAGTTAAATGAAAGTCTGACAACTACAGAATTAAAGAAACCACATCCATCCAGACTGGTAGGAGGGGTGCAGATGCTGAAGGGGTTGGTCCCTCATACACGTGTGGTGGATAAAAGTTTGGGAGGGATATATCAGGCCCCCTAGCCCAAGGTTCCAAGGCCAGGAAGAAAAGTTCCCACAACTTCTGGCTGTAAAAACCAGTGGGGATTGAGTTGATGGAAGAAACTGTTGGAGCCCCAAACAGTTCCTCCTAAGAACCCACACAAGGACTCACCTACACAGGCAAACACCCTCTGAGCTTCAGCACGAGGGTAGCAGCTTGAAAAGCACCAGTGGTATACAGGGAGAAACTGAAGGGTCTCACATCAAGATAAGGAAAAGCCCTTGTCCCTTTTCTAAACCCTACTCACACAGATCCAGCAGGCTGGTGCTGTATCTGAGGCTCCATTGATCTGGCTAACACTGCATGACCTACCTAGAAGATCCCCAGAGACTCCGCCCCACCCAGCTTACAGGCCCATCCAAACTGTTAACCATGACTTTTCCATATGAATGGCTGGTCTTGGTTCATGCTTCACAACTTCCTAAATCCTATCAAACAAGCAACAGCTGGCCTCAGTGAGCCCCCAACCCCCAGCCCCCAAACCTCTTAAGTGGCCCCAGGCCTGACACTAGCAGCAGCCTTCCTAGATTCACAGTTTGGTGTTGCCAGGCAATCTCCAAGCCCAGCACAAGTAGCAGCCATCTCAGAATGCTCTATAGCTCATGCAGGGTGGCCCTGGGCAGAACACCAGTAGGGGCTGACCTTGGCCTGCACCACCCAGGAAACCCCAGACCATGTGCACCCAGTGGACAGCTACAGACCATGTTGGAGCTCCACCACTCTGCCCCTGCACAGCCAATCCTCTACAGAGGGTGGAGGTTGGTAGTCTGTGATCAGAGCCACTCTTTGCAGCTGACTGGCCTGGATAAATCCCTCCGATTGACCTGCCAACAGCAGGTCAACCTAGTCTCAACAACAAGAGGAGGATATACTCAGCCCACATGAAGGATGAACCTT